ATGCATGTCTTGTATACTAGTACATGCAACAGACCAAAAAAAGGGTTTTCAAAGTGAAAGTGATTTGCATATCTTTGCCCCTTAAGCAAACATGTAAATGTAGATAATGCACATACGTGTACCAGTACCTAAAGTCAGCGGTAATTTTGCCTATTTGAGTCCAGGCTTCTCGTCCATTGTGCAGTTTGTTGAATTGAGCGTGATTAAAGGAACTGGAGGAATTTCAGTGGTTAGGAAGGGATATTACATAACATTGCCCCAATTAGGATTACATGTGCGATGAGTGACAGCGTAAGGCAGAGGAAGTGTGGCTGGCTGGCAATGGTCGGAGGATTGGAGTGGAAGTTGATTGAATAGCAGAGTTTGGTTGGTCTGTAGGGAGTGAAACATGATGGGATATGTCTCAGACAGTAAACATTTGAACAAATATCGTACAAGTACAACTGAGCGCTGTCATGTTCTCAATTTAAAGGATTTCTTCAGTCATGGTCAACCCTGTATTCTCAGGAGCATTGACTCTGTCAACAACAGTTGTAGCAAACGAGACGCTTGACTCTCGGTACACTAATCATCTTCATAAACATTTGCTGTGACGTTAATTGAATTCATATCTTGTACTGTACTCCCAAGATTCATGCACTGTACATGTATTAGTACCCAGAGGATGTACGTTGAACAAGGTACATGGAAACTTCAGAAAAGGAAGGGAAAGTAATTGGGCTTATTTACAGTGTGAAAGATTTTGGAAGTAAGTTCTTTTGGATTTAGAGAGATGTGGAAAGATGTACACGTATCCTCAAGTTACGGCAAATTATGCATTTATAGAGTTTGTGCTACGGTAGTACATGTATCTGCAAGAATGTATGTATCTTCAGGAGGGGGAGCACACCATTTAGCCCACATGGACATGAACATATGTTCTTACCAATCTGTTTCTTGCATGTTTGGCTGAGTCCTTTGCCAGGAAAAAAAAAACCGCCTGAAGGGAAATCAAATCCCCCAGAGCTTGCGTGTTGGGTGATGGAGCGGGTAGATTTACCTGTTTAGGCTGGGATTACTACTGCTACGTGATTGGGAGAGGGAAGGGAACTCCAGGCTCTTGCACAAATGCAGAGAGTAAATTTTTGTTTTTTGGAGAAATGCATTATTGTCTCCTGTAGTGAGACTAGAAAAAATCTTTTGGAGTGAGATTTTTTTTTTGCATAAATGAACATAAATATAGTTTAACGTTAAAGTCATTAATTTAAGAGATGAAAGTATTTTGGGCATTTTGGCAGTGTTTGACTTACCGTAGGGAACCTGTGAATCCAGTTTGACAAATGCTGGTTTTTGGGTGGGATGGATTTTATGGTTCGGGTGCCAGTCCTCTTGACAGTCTGCCAGCTTGTCATGTTTCTCATAGAGAAGAAGCTCAGATTTGTGGGAGAATATGTACATGTACAAGGCCTCTGGAGTTGAGTAATTTTTTTGAGGTAACCAGTGGGAGGATGCCAGGGCTTGGATAGAGGTCATGTGCTGGTGAAAAGTCTAAATATGTTGTTTCAGGTTGTCAAGTAAGATAGCTGAATCCTTTTTGTTTATACGTCATCGGGCATCAAGTGGTTAAAGGCATTGTACCAGTATAAAGAGGCATGACTCACACTAACCTGTGTGAGTCCAAGACTTGGTGCTCCCCATGTCCCATATGGAATGGAAGTTTTACCCTTCAAGAAATTAATGGATTGAAGTATTCTTCATTCAGCTCTGAATGGAGATGACACCAACAAGAATTTTTACACTGCTCAGTTTTGATGATTGTGTAATTAAAGAAAACATGGTACTGATTTCATATGTGGCAAACAAGGGGACTTTTTCATGTCCTACTAACAAGAATTTTTACACTGCTCAGTTTTGATGATTGTGTAATTAAAGAAAACATGGTACTGATGTCATATGTGGCAAACAAGGGGACTTTTTCATGCACTTGCATTGTACGGTACCCTCCTACGTACCAGGATGTCCTATTTTTTATTGGTTTTCACTTCATTTGACAATTCATCGGAGATCATTAGAGCCCAAATTGTTATAAGACATATGGTGGGATATTGGTTGTCCTCTTTTATTGTGTGCACAAGGCACAGGTGCCGTGGCAGGTGATGTGTGGGTCTCATTTAGGAAAGATTAACCGATGAGCAGAGACAGCAAGCAAACATATGCAGGTATCAATCCGACCAGAGAAAGAAGCCGACAGAGGCTGGAGATGAGCTTTTCAAGAAGCCATCCGTGTAAATGGGCTGGTGGGTGTTGAATGGATTGCCACGCCAAGGTGTGAATCAATCAGCAGGCGAGAGGGGCACCGGCACATCGGTGAACCAGTCGGTCGTATCCACCTACACTACTTGTACATAATACTTAACATGTGGGCATCTGTTGATTGCATTTTGTTTTGAGTGTGGGTGTATGTACAGCATATACACGTAGGCCTGCATGCCATTCCTACCGGGTACATGTACCAAGTTTCTTCTGTTGTGGCATGATGCAATATTTTCCAGTTCTGTTTGGAATTTGATCTGCCACGTGTTATCAAATTCTATTTTATTTTTAGTTTTTTTAGTTTTGTCTTTCTCTCAGATTCAAGATAACCACAATTTGTTTTGAGTGAAAAGGAAACAATGTGCATTACCCACCCCCAGCTATATCGGTAATAAGAGGGTTGTCTAAGGAGCATGGCAAACTCACAAATAATGATATGTCAGCTGTCAAAGCGTTAAACATTTTGCCTAGTGTCATGACCATATCCCCCATGATGTCAAAACGAGAGATGTTTGGTACTGTATCGAAATGAGGTTTTACAGGTTCACAATGTACATGTATGTTCTGTCTCTGAGGTACATGTATGAGAAAAACTAGTAAAAAAGCATTTACTGAACTTGTCTGAGTGTCCAGATACATACCGGTATGGTATACACCTGCCCATGTACATGGATGTACCTGAAGTTTGTACATTTGTGCACGTTTGGTTAAGGAGACCTTGCAATGTAGGCCTAGCGTGCATAACACCCCTTGAGATGCGTGCACACATGATCACGTCACCTGCCACAAATTGCAGCATGACAATAAAATTCACTTAGATGACTGCCGTTGAATAGATGTTACATACTAGGGATGCTGATGCCCTTGATTTGTAACAACCCTCCGTCTCCAGAGAAAACGAAGCTATTCACTCACTCCTTAGTGACATTTATGTATCGGTGCCGCCCGTCCGTCCATTCACCAGCTGCGTGTTGTGCTTTTTCTGTTTAGTCAAGGTATGTTCAGTATTGATTTGGGGGGTTGGGTAAACTGGAAAACATAATATAGTCTGGCACGTATGTTTTTTGCATTCATGCGCATGTAGTACATGCAAGGTCATTGTCTGTGCAGTGTGTACATACGTCATCCAGCCTCGTCAGTCAGGCGACTTACCGGTAGACGCACGAACTGTTTGCATGAAAGGAAGAAATTAAGATTAATCGTTGTGTTCTCTTAAGTGGCACATCAGATTAAAGACAAGCACTGTGCATGTAGTAGGAAGGTCTTAACAAGAAACCAAGTGGAGAAAATTCTGAGAAATAGTGACCATTTTGACTGGCAAGTATTCGTTCAAAGACCAGACATGCACATGAAATCAGTCTGATGTAAATGCAGAGTGGATTGTGGTGGATGTTTGAAAATTGAATAGGTAAAGTGTATTCTTGTTAGAAGAGCAAAAAAAAAAGACATTTCCTCAATCATTCAAGTTGACCCAGTATAGGTTACCCCAGACACAAACAGATCATTACCGGGTGGCCAACCATACACCACAAGCTGTTGAAAGAAATGAATGGCGCACAAACTATACATCATCCATCTCCGTCTCACTGCCTGAGACACTTGAAAACTGCTGCGGAAAATCACAGGCCCGGTTTTGGGAATTCAAAATTTCTTAATTACCTGGGGAAGGCTGCAGGTTTGTCTGCTGAAAAAAATCTCATTTCCTTAAATGGGCCTCTCCGTCTTCAAGAGGAGGGGGGATGCGTCTGGTCATTACGCTAAATTTGCTTCCTAGGGGGCACAGAGAAAGTATCATTGTACAAGGTTGTATTCATATTCACCATAAAGCTGAGCTATGGGTCAAGCTCAGAGACGGGAGACTGGCGTGCATACTACATGATGTAGTATGTGCCGAATTTTTTCTGTGGCGCTCTGATAAGTAATAAAAATAATAGCCAAAGTGTCAGTAATGGTTCGGTGCAGATTTTTGTTGCTATGGTACCGGTATTTGTTTGCAAAGGAAGAATCAGCCCAAAATTGGTGATAGGCAAGACAGATAACATGATGATGTCAGTGGTAACTCATGGTTAATGAGATCAGCTACAGTGGCGTCTTTCTTCTGGAATGAGCGCCCTCACCCATTGTGACAAACACTAGTCTCAGATAAATTTCAAACTGCGTCGATGTTGCTCTCCAGAAACTGTGATGGTGTATTTCATTTGATCTTTTCATCGGAACAGGACATTAGGACCGTGCTTGTGTTCTTCATAAGCACGGTTAATGTGCACCAAACAGCCTTGTGAAAGTGACTTCATGTCAGCAGGAGAAAAATGGGAAAGGATTAGGTATGCCCTGTGAGAGCCGGAACTCGTGGCACTGCACTCTCTTTTTAAAATGCATTATTAAAACCCATTAATGTGCCATAAAGTGGCTTTCAAATCAACTTGACAGGTGCTTCCTGTGTCTTAATGAATTCTCTTTAGTCATTCAACAAATATTGTCTGTGCTATGAAATTTTAGCTGGCATGTGATTTCGCTTGCCATCCTCATACTCATATTTTGGGGTGCTTAAAATGTCAGTTGAGATAAAGTGACAGCGAAAGTGATTGATCTTTTGCCTCACAGGATTTCTTTTGTTGAAATGGAGAATTGCGATGATTTGCATTCAGAAAGTGAGTGTTATATTTATCCTCTTTTTTTTTATCACTTGGTGACTTTTTGCCTCCCAGATTTTCTGCTCTTCACCATGCCGCTCTCATCAGCAACTGCAACATCATGGCTGCCTTGCTGGACTGCAACCAGATCTCAGTGGACATCAAGGATAACAAAGGTGAGGAAATTCCTGGGGGGAAACTGACAACTCTTTTAGACTGCTCTGAGCGGGAACAGAAGAGGGCGTGTTTTGAATGAAATTGACAGTCCTTTGGTACGAACTCACCACATAGGCGCACAAGTTTATGCCCGTTTTGACACGGAGCATGCTGAGTCAGGTTGGCAAGGTAGTTCTTGCCTCGCCTTCCACCTCTCTGGTCCCGGGTTCGATTCCCGGCCTGGTCCACATGTAGATTGGGTTTTCAGTCCTTACCTGACTCTGTGGGTTTTCCTCCCACCTCTAAAACTGTAACTGCTTCTTACTGTCTCCTCTTTACTGATGTTGGTGACTGTGGATCATTTGGCGGCTGCCCTTGTATGCCATCGGCTCAACCATGTTTAAATGTATTAATTGTTCCATGCTTAATGTCTTCATTGTACAGCGCATTTGAACATATCTATATGAAATTTGCGCTTTATAAATGAATGAATTATTTCATGATTATTATTAGTATGCACAACAAATTTACATACATCCCATTCAGTTTGTGATCTGGTGATAACTTGTAGTTGGTGATAATGGTACAGTCTTTCTGCTTGCAGCTGCAAATAACAATATCAGCATTTCTTTAATATGAATGGTCAGAAACTGAACACATTGGTATTTTCTCTCTTTTTTTGTCACGTCCACAAATAGTCATTGAATTTTAGCTGTTTTGAAATTTTGTGAACTTTCTTTTTTTGGGGGGGTTGACATTGAAATGAGGACAGGAATTAAATTCCAATATTTAATATTTATTTTGGATGGCACATCTTTCAAAACACACAACTTATGAAATGGGTGGCTCCTGTCGCACTGCTGTCAATATTTTGCCTAGGAATAAAGTTCCCACCTGTTTTGGATCCGGTTTCACGAACTTATTGGGCCACTGGAAATGTGGAATCTGGTGGCCATGCATTTTTTGATGTTGCAAGGGCTTGAAAGCCCACTGCAAATGGCTGAACTCAAGAGTCACTTTGGGAAACAAAATTCAAGTTCAAGCGATACATAGTGTGTGATACATTATGTTTACATGTACATACATGTACATGTACCGGTATGCACATGTGTACTTGTATGCAGTATGTACATGTAGGAACCTTACAGTTCCAAAATTGGATCATGTTCATCCTATCCGCCCCGAGCTTAAGTGGACCCCCCAATCGGCAAAAGAAAGACGGGTGGTTACAAGCAAGTTTTTGCACACGTTCTGCGTGTACGCAAAGACCATACATGCTGGAATAAATTAGTTACGCGTACTCAGCGTGCTCCGTGTCAAACACCCATATACTTGCCTGCCTCATGGCACACCTATGCAGTGAGTACCAAAAAAAAGTCCTCTTTTGTTCTGCTCGGAGCGGATTTGGTTGTGAGGATTGCAACTTGGGTACTTGTACTTTGCTGATATGGAATAATGGGGAACAAGTTGCTTCCCAATGTAGAGCGTTTGGTTCCCTGAGAAATGTTGATGTGTGTGCAATATGCCAGTACTTGTGAAAAGTTCAATATGATCACATCCAGTCAGTAGTTCTTATTGTACATGTTGTTGTACAATGTTCTTCGTTACATTTTTATACAAAATAAAACAAAATAGAACAGATGACCTGTTAATTCACTTTCATGTACATGTTGGCCCGCAGGATCTTTGCCAGAACTGAAGTACATTGAACATACAGGTACTGCACGTGTACCGGTCTATTTTGTACCACTGGTTATTTAGTAATCTTTTCAAAAGTTCCTGTTTGTTCAGAGTGGGATTGTTTCAAGTTTAGCCATTGACCCTTGCTTGAGTGGTAAGGAACTTGCACTAGGATATGTACACACATGTACGTGTAGGCCGTGACTGTACTGGGGACTTTTCTACAGACTGAGTGATCTGCATGTCTAGACCAAACCAATTTTGCTGTTTCAGCCCCTGAAGGGAAGTCTTTTTAGACCATGACAGGCAGAGCGTTCTGTCAGCTTTAATCAGCTCTGTTAACAAGCAACAATTTCACCAAGTCAGGAAGTGTCAGAAGCAGGGTATAAACCCATTATGATGTCTTCTGTTTCTCTCCACACCCATATGCCACAAGAATTACCCCTTTAAATAAACAGAACGGAAACCACAATCCTCCTGCTGGCGTTCTGGGGACTAGGCCGCAGATCAAGGGGGGGGGGATTTTAATAGATGTGCTGTGGGGTTCGGAAAGGGATGAAGGAGAGCCAGAGTTGGTGAGCAATTGAAGGCTGAGAAGCAGGGAATTGAAGCCCAACGGGTGCAATCAGCGATCTGAGATTCTCTGGGTAGTATCAGAAAGTAGCACCTGGAAATTGTTTGTGGCAAAATGTGCAAAGGACTTCCAGAGGAATTTTAAAAAAAAACAGGCGCGGGCTGAAAGAGATTTGAAAATTTTGTTCAAGAAGTCTGTTCTGTAAGGTTTTTGAGGAAGAACCCGCACCTTGGCTACCACTATTATTATTGCTGTTAGTATTTTGATTTCTGATCAGACACCAAGGATTCCTCAACTGGCGCCCATGCTCTCTGAGCTCGCAAGCCTTGAAGAAACCTGTACGTGCAGATTTGTGTATGAGACAATGGGAAACAGTTACAGTTTTAGTGGTGGGAGGAAAACCCCAGTTTAAAAAAATTTCAACCAATATTTTCTCGTATTTTCTTTCATTCGTAACATTTATCGACTGATTGTGAAAATGATAAGTTCATGAGCTCGCAGTGTGTCTGTGTCAGTGTAACAGGCGTCGCTTGTATGGCGGTTCATTGTGTGTGTGGCCATGGCTACTCGGCTGGCCTTTAGTCAAGGCGTATGTGGCGAAAAAGGATTGTCCACATGCCCAGCTTATGTGGCGAAAGGGATCGTCCAGGCACGAAGCTTACATAACGCTTGAAGAACTGAAGAAGGGAAGAAATTGGTTGAAATGTTTTCATTTATTAACCTTTACAATTGAATTTTCACAAATTTTGATATTCCATGACTTTCCACGACTTTTCAACGAAAGAACAAATTTTCCATGACTTTCAAGGCCTGAAACACAAAAAAGTAAAATTGCATGACTTTCCAGGTTTTCCATGACCCATACGAACCGTGAGTCAGAATCATACAGAAGACTTTTGTCCTCATGACAGTATTCTGTTTGGGTGGGAGTTTGCACTTTTTCTGCAGTCACTGGCTATGCTTGGAAGACTTTGATAAAATTTTATGATGATCACGTACCATAGTTCGAACCATTCATACAGTACATGTATGTGTGCCAGTGCATAATGTCCATCAACGTGCTGGCATTTTCAGGCTAAAAAAACTGAAAGTAAGAGGAAACAGCTGTAGCTACAGGTGTGGTAACTTTACCAGTTTTTTTTGTGTGAATGGCATTCCTTCAAGAATTTTTATAGAAAGTTTGTGGAAGAGCCAGTACTCTGTCTTTCAACCGATTTCTGGAAATGAGACCCACAGGAAGTAGTTTTTCAAAATCTTCCGGGAAAAAACTTCTAGGCTTTTACGTCCCACTTTTGCCAGGAACTGCACCTCAACACTCCCCATGCTGCCTGCCCTTACCCAGCTACATGTACGTGTGTTTCTTCCTCTATACACACACATACATACAGGTACATTTCCATATACATGTACAGTACATATATACCTGTACATGTACTTGGGCATGCATGACGGTTTTGAATGTTGTAGTTCTGTGGTTTTCTGAACAGTTCAATGTGCCAATTTCTTTTCATCAACAGGAAAACCAAATTTGAAGAATGAGATCACATGGAGTTCAGGGAGTCAGATCATAACTATTGGTTTTTGAAAAGCATTCTGTAACATTTTTAATTGAAATCAAAAACACTGAAGAGACTCTGAAATAGACACGTACATGTAAGAGCAAATCTATGTTGATGTTGAAATTTTCATAGAATACACATGTACAGTTCTACCAACTTTGATTTTTATTCAAAACCTGGCAACGAGATTGAATACGAAATGGAAGATGATTACCGATAGAACATTGTGCGGCATATACATGTGTGTACATGTAAATAATATACAGTCCAACATTTATAGGTCATGTGGTACATTTTTTGAAATTTATGTTTACCTGATGTGTAATTTGAAATCCACTTTTTTTTAGTCCAGGCTCAAGAAACTCATTTTTAGCTTCCCGCTTAAAAAAAAACCACTAAAAGTGGCTGCAGCACAGGATAGGAGGGCAAGTGATTTACAGAACTGTGGCCCTGGTCTCTCTGCTGTGGGCCCAGTAACATGTTTGCTTTGACAGGAAGTTAGCAGGGCAGGTGGCGTTGACTTGATTTATGCACATATTAATATCTTGATTTATTATGGTATCAGGCACCAGCCATGCAAACTGCAGGTTTGCTGCCTGCACAGGAGGGGACTTTTTCTTTCGTGGAAGGAAAATGACCCCTTTTTCTTAAGTGCTTGCGTTTTCCCACTTGAAATTCCACAACTTTGAATACAGGAAGGAGACTTGAATTTATGAAATGCATCATTACTCTGTAGACTCTGGTTGGAGTGTTATGTAAATGTCTCACTTCGTTTCCGCTTTCTATAATAAATTTTCTCAGTTGTTTTGAACTGTGCGTGAAGTTCCATCTGTGCCAACTTCAAAAGAGTTACTTGGGGAAAAGTACATGTACCCCGGTAGCCTAAAGAAAAATTCAGTTTCGCATACTCTGCGAGGAACACTGGATTGTGCATGTACATGTACAGTGTATGTGTATGTTGCCTTTTTGAGTGGTGTTTCTGTGCTCAGAGAGCAAATTTAAGCATGGGTGATGATAAAGTTTGAAACCTGTCTTGAAAATACTGTTTCTTTGTTAACTTTTGGTGTTATTAAAGTTTCTTTAACATGAAAGGATTCTTGTTTCTTTTTTTCTGTTGTCAGGGATGCGACCTCTTCACTATGCAGCCTGGCAGGGGAAGGTGGAACCAGTCAACCTTCTTGTCAAGTTTGGCTCTGCCCCTAACGATGGTTCCCAAGATGGAGAAACACCCTTACACCTTGCCGCCCAGTACGGAAGCCACATGGTGGTACGTATCGACTATATAGATGTACATATGTAGAGTATCAGGTGAGATGCTGGACTTCCGTTACATGTACAGGGGCTGTAGTTCAACCACGACTGTCATGTGGACTCCACCGTGAGCCCTGAGCTGGACCCGTTTTCCCCCGCAACGAAGTCTCCTTTGGTGAGAACTGCACTTGCTGGTTCACAAATGACTGAAACATGTGTAAGGGTTGAGTCACTACCAACAAGAATGAACACTCCCAACCAATGTGGCTCTTTTCAACTAATGAGGGGGTGCTTCTGCACAAGGCAGATGCATTTTGCTGCAAGTGCAGAGAAAATGTATTTAGTGCAGAGGAAGAATTGCTTGACTGAGGGAATAAATATTTGCTTTGCTTGTCTTGGAGAATGGATGCTGATCAAGACTGGCTACGCACGTACATGTATTTATTCTCATCCTTAAACACTATTCAAGTCACAAAGTCAAAACAAGTCTTAAAATTTAGAATTTATTAATTTTAAAATTGCCAACAATTTTGTTCAAAAAATTGACACTTTTTTTTTCAAACATTCCTGTGTCAAACATTTGTGTTTCTGCACAGTGGAGGATTTGTGGAGAACTCAGAAAATGTCAAGGGAATTGTAGGGATGGTGTGAATGTACATGTACATTTCCCGTATATTTTCACGAACATTTTCAAGCCTTACTTAGAGTTGTCCTCATAACTGTCGTGCCCTGCATATGTAATTGACTATCACACAGAATCCTGCATTGAAGAAATTCCCAACTGGTGTAAGAGTTCTAAATGACCCAATTCAATTTGAAACTGAAGTAAGTATAGCATTCATAGCCTACATTTTTATGTGACTGACTTTTATTGCCTGTTAAGAGACTGGCATTGTGAACTGGTCGGATAATTTGCCACCTGTTGAGAAGTCTGGCGACCTGACCTCCAGAATGTCTCAGAGGGTTCACCATAGCATATTTTGGGAGACATTTCAATCTTGTTTTTTTCAATCTGTCAATTTTTTTCCTCCCAGCTTCAGGCACTGGCAAACACCACAGGGAACAGTTGAACAAGCCTTGCGAGATCAGCCCTAGTTTTTCAAAGATACCTCAATTTATGTGTGTTGTGGTCCTTGATTCACAGAATTTGGGTCATAAAAGATTACTGTTTCATAGAATACTTGCATCTCTGTCAGATAATGTACATGTTCATGTACTGGATACCGGTACATGTACCTACATGTACATGTAGGTGCAGTCAGGGGAGACGGGATGGCACCCCCCCGTCCAATAATTAATTCCAGTTGGTAAGTAGAGCTTTGATCCGCAAACGAATCCAAAATTGGTACTTAAATACATTGGCCGTTGGCATTTCCCCTGAAGCATGAAATGTAGCTACCACAGATTTTCATTTTCTGCACTTTGTGAATTTTACACAACACAAGGTTGGCGAACAAGTTACAAGCTGGCAAATTGACTCTGGCACCCCCCCCCAGAAAATGCCCTCACTGCACCTCTCGGTGCATTGCAGCAAGTGCTGGTACATGTGCATATAGTGTTTAATTGATGTGCAAGTACGACTATGAAACTTCCCATTTAGGTGTGCTGAATTACCAGTCTTTTTTTTTTCCCCTCAAAAGTTAACAAGTTCCCAAGATACACGTCCATCTACTAAGAATTGTAGTGGAAGGTGTAGAGTGGCACTGGTAGCAATTCTGAGAAAACCAGGATTTTATGTCAATGGAAGTGATCCATAGAGGGATATCTGACCACAGAGATTTGTATTTCCTTGAAAGTGACATTTACATAGGTGTAGGCCCTACAAGTTTGTTTCCTGATTTTTGCAAAAAAGTATGAATACCTTACAACACACGACCAGTTTGACCCCAACCACCAAAAATGTTCACCAGAGCTAAATTGAGGCCTACCGTACTTGTTCATGTACAAGAGTGCGCTTAAACGGTGTAAGAAGATACATTGTACTTTCAAGTTCAAATGTTTTGCTTGGAAGATCTCTATAGGAAGTGAAACTTTTCACTTCCAAAAATGTTTATTTTCATTAGACCGAGGGGCAAGCATATTGTTGTTAATGTATCATGCTTGTAAAAACAGTTGCTTACACGTTCGTGTACGGTGTAGAATTTGTTGGTGGAAAATGACTTTATAACACATATATACGTAATGTACATATGTATTTTGTAAGTTGATTCGATCACATCTGGTACGTGTACATATATATGTTGACAGTCACCTAAATGAAAAATGACTATGAAATATCTTTCAGTAAACAAACCAGACACTATTGGTACACGCATATTTAAATTCACCGAGCCAAGCATCTACTGGTATGATACGGTACTTTTTGATACATGCGCATGAACATGTACTGTACATGTATGCACATTTCAAGCCACATTTTATTAATTTCAGATACATGTACATTTACCTGTGAGCATTGTTTCCAAACACACCCTGTTTACTTGCTCTTCTGACATAACACACTGTGTGTGTAGTTTGTCATAAACATTCTTTTCAAATTTATTGCTGCCAGCGACAGCCATGACAAAAGGGGAACAAAAGTGGCTTCATATTCTCTAGTCTGACCCACAACGCACTTAGTGTAAAAAATTTATGAGTTTGTTACAGCCCAGTTTACAGATAACGTGCCCAGCTTAAAAACCACTGTCAAAATTCACACAATATGCCTAAGCCAAAGCTCATGAAGACAGTTCTAAAATGTTGAGTTTTAATTCAGCCATTACCTCAGAAGACGTTTGATCAACAAGCTTTATTAAGAAGAATAAAAGAAAGAGATTTACACCATGGCCGACTTGTTTTGTTTGCATTCGTCATGTTTCCCTGGCACAAAACCTGTTTCAAAGTTTTTAACAGATATACACGTACGCGTATACGTGTACATTGATATGTTTATCGTGACCTGTTTTTGACCAGTGCAGTAACACTGACAGCTGAACATTGACCTCGTGGCTGGTCTTACATTTGAGATTCCTCAGTCCTCCCTTCCAGTATCAACCGCCCCTTGCCTTCTTCGCCCTCCTTCAGGTTGACACCCTCCTTCGGCACCAGGCTGACCCGACCCTCAAGAACAAGGCGGGCAAGACAGCGCTGGACCTGGCGGCCGAGTTTGGCCGGCTGAAGGTGGTGCAGCTGCTGATGAACAGCAACCAGTCCACAGCGCTGCTGGACATCCCCTCCAGGACGCGGGTCAGCATGCACACGCCGTTGCACCTGGCTGCCAAGAATGGGCACAGCGATGTCATCAGGTGAGAGGCATGCCACTTTGCTGGTACCTCCAATCGGCTGATTTCATCTTGTTGTTTACATTTTCTTCCTAAGTTGGTCACTGTTCATTGAAAAACTCCATGCTCTGTATCTTGTGGAACAATATCCTAGTTTTTCTAACTTATCAGTAGTACATGTATGCCTCTAGGTAGCATGACAACAAATGGTTTTGGTATCCCTGGTTTTTTTTGTGGAAGGCTATGATACGGTAAAAATGAAAAATGAAAGTTTGTGAAAATTGCTGTCTTACCATGGTATTTGATGTGACAAGATGATGGACACCATATTGTTGTTGTGAAGGTAGTGATATCACTTACGGTATGAAACATCTTTTTTTTTTGAAACGTGAGGCTTTCACAGAGATGAGAGCCCCTACATTGCATTTAAAATTTTCCTTTCCTACACGAACCTCATTAAAGGCCTCCAAGGCACGTCATTTGCCCTAGTACATGTATTTGTGCTGAAATAAAAAACAGGCTGAAACTGAGAGGGAAAAGATTCACGTCATCAAAAGTGGTTAAAATGTTTATAGTGCCTGTCACTAAAAACGATGAAACTTTGTCTGTTGGTTTACATGTATGTTATGGTATTGTTCATTTAAAAAGCATCCTTTGAATATTTAACCCATCATGTGCTCTAGTTTAGGGAGACTGACCAGTACAGATCACATGCTTGTGGTTCTTTCTGGATTGATGAATGGATTTGATTCTTCAGACGTTGAGGCACAGTTCTAGTGTCCCAGGGCAAGATACTTTACCTTAGTTGGTTCTGTCCAGCCAGGTAGATTATAACAATCATTGAAAGTACATGTAGTGTGTGGATGCATGATCAGTTTACAGTTTGGAGCACCCTACATGTAGGCTGCTGAATGTGGTTGGGCATGTTGTCCTGTCGGATCGGCTCCTGAAATGGATATGTCTAAGCTTATTAATCAGGGGTAATGATATCAGCACTTTGATTGTCTGGTGAAAGTATTGTTTAAATGCTAACATCATTTTTTGCAGAAATGTGCAGATTTTTAGTGCGATATCATTACTCCATTGTTTTGAGAAAGTGGAGGATACAGTGGAAGTTTTGGCCATTCAAAAACCTTTGGTTTCCATGGAAACTCTGTGTGTCCAGGTAACTACACTGTAGGTGCATCGTGGGACAAAGTCTTATCTTTTAAAAGATAAAAAGTTTAAGGGATTAGGTTCCTTTGGTTAATTTTTTTACAATTTTGTTTAAAAAAAACCTCCAGTGATAATTTATTGTTTTCACTTGAATGCACTAGGTACTCAGTATGCACGTGCAGCCTCTAACCTTTTTGAATTTGCGTCGCATTTTATCTCAAATCAATATGGTCGGTGAGAGAAGCGAGCACATGTTCTGCCCACATACCCAGGGCTGTGTTATCGATACCACTTGTCTAAAAGCAGAGAATCTGGTAAAGACAGAAAGAGGAATGAAAAACACACAACAAAACAAGGGGCTAATTTTAGAGTGACATTTGCACATGATGTTGACCGGAGTGGATGTTAGCTTTGTGAAGTGGACTTTGCAAGGATGATGCAACTTGTTTGCGTGCAGAAACGGATGTTGCCTGCCACCAGCCAGGTGAGAGTGGTCGAAAGTGGAGAAGTGATAGGTTGAGGGGGAGGGAGGGAAGAGTTGAATGTAACTAGTAATATTATATGGTAGTGAAATGTTTTCTGGGTTGATTTCTTTGAACCTGTATAATAACCTTTTGGCCTAATGTGAGTACAGAAAAGGAGGTAAAAAGGGAAGAGAACGGAAATCTTGGATTACAGATATCTATGTACATGTAGGCTAAGTGGCTCTTGTTTAAAAACAGCCTTCCATAAGGAGGAGGCATTTTTTGACCCAATTTATGGGATATGCATGGCCATATACTATCTCAGTTTCCTGCATGTAGACTCTACCATCAGAAACTGACCAATGGGCTAGGGAAAACTTCTTCCTTGGTTTTGAGTCAGATATTACCATGAAAGGCAGTTGCTAGGGGCTCTACACGGTCACTTGTGATAGATGCATGTATTACACACACATAGTGCTGTAGTACATGTACATGTACCACCGGCCACAGCCAGTGAACTTGATCATTGTCTTAGTCTGACGTCTTTGGGAAACATGCACCCAAGATGTAGAAAGCACCTTGGTTGCCCGCATTGGAAAAAGTTTAACAATGCATTTGGGTTGTCGGAATTCATTATTCTTAGACAAAAATACGTGTACATCTCAATCCAGTATGTACAACATACATGTACAACCCACAGATGGCAAGGCACTTTGGAGTTATCCCAACTTCAGACCCCTATGTACTGGTCGGTACACATGCACTCTGACTCAAGCTTTAATGACACCCTTCATCTTCAGTGGCAGCTTTCCCTTTCATGATCAGGCCGGAAAATAAAAATATTGCGAAAGTGTAATACAGTGTAGGCCGAGAGTGAAAACTGAAGCAAAACCAAACCGGAGCAGTAGCACCAGACTAGCCATTTTCAGTTGTAGCCATAAATTTCATGTAATTTCTTTAATGACCCACATAAAAACAGATTATTCACGGTACTTAATATTTGTCTAAGGCTGAATAGGCAGTTGGAGTTAATATTTTCTTTTCATGTTTGCTTGCATATATTAATGCAGTGTTTTTTTTTAGAAGCAATACTTGTACATCTGCCTGCGTTTTTGCGCCTGTATAGCATTTCACTCATTTGACAAGTGTGCCTACAGGTTGAAGAGTTACTCATTAACTTGCATGTTCCAAAGCCGTCTATTTGGAGATGGTGAAATGATTTATCAACAGCCGGACTTTGTTGTCTTTCGATTTTTAGGAGGACATGTGTAAATATCGGTTTGCATTTGTATGCCACAAATTCTTGACAACAGTCATTGTTGATGTCAAATATTCACTTCACTTGGCTTGGCGAGGGCTAAAATTGTGTCTGGAGTACTGTTGTTCCAAGGACAAATTTAATGCATTTATCGCATTGTGTACGTCATGATTCTTGTTGTACTTTTTTCGAAATCAAACAGTTTTCAATGACATGAAGAATCCTAAAAGTTGCTTTACAAAATGAGCCAAACATTTTACAACCCACTGCTCTCCTGAAATGTCAAATGCTATCAGAGGCTGAAAAACATTTAACAGAGACTTACCCCATGCTGTGGACCGTGAGAGATAAAACTTGTCGTTATTTTGGAAACAGTACATGGGTTGCTACCGTTAAGAAACATTAATACAGACTGTTTGAGATTATGTCTGTCCTAAAAATGGTTTTCGGAGTTGTTGTGGTTTGCACTTGCCCTATCAGGAATTTCGGTAGTCAGTGGAAGTACAAGCTGTTCTTTATCTTGATGATTGCTGTCTTGGCACTGTGAGCTTTTCCACTGGAAAAACTCAGAGGTTTAACTACAGAAATCTCATAGTTAGAAAGATACGAAGTAATGGAGTCAGAAAATCAAGTTTGTACAGGAAACACTGAAAGTGAAGTTTAATTTTGAGTGGCAACAGATGGATGGAAGTCAGAAATACCAGTTTTAAGATACGTGTACATGTAACCTTTACCAGTAGTTGGATGTTGCTATAGTAAACCTACATGTTCACGAACATATATGTACAGGGTACATGTATATACATGTACTGGTACATACCATTGGGGGATTTTTTTCCAGGTCAGTCACCAGGGTACATGTACATGTGTAGGTAGCCTCTTTTTTTGATGTATTTGTCCAGGTTCACCTAAACTGACAGCCATAGTTGAACTTTGACTTCCTCAGGCTCCTTGTTCACCCCTAGGAGTGCACTGTGCAGGATAAATATTGTGGCAGCTCAATGGGGTGGGCCACAGCATTTGTTCCCCACCCCTTCCCACACACACACACACAGCAGCGAGGACTGAACATTAGTGAGTTCTTTTCTGCTTGCACTGATCTCGGTGGACAAAACTGCAGGTGTATATTTATGCTGCCTTTTGCATTTAAGGGCACCGTATGACAGTTTTGTGTATAAAGCTACTTGAGAATTTGGGCTTCATACAGTGTCTTATAGGATGGTGTGTTCCTTCCTGCTCCTATAAAGTGCATGCTCATGAACACAGTGCTTTTTTCTTTGCTACTTGAAGGGAAAACAAACTGTTTTAACTGTTTTGCTAAGCTGAAATTCTTGTGTTTCATATTGAGCACCAGAAAAACAATGTGAAACTTTTCGGTTTATTGTTGAGTCACGGACAACATTCAGATGTTAGCGTGCGTCTGATGCGCGGGTGCCCTAATGTTGCTACATATGTGTGTAGTATTTTAGGAATACACAAGACAGATCATATACAGGGATGTTCATTCTACTATTGTCGGTAGCAGGCAGGGCTGTGAACATCTTTAACATTCACCAGTGTTGAAAAAAAAGATTATTTTCACAGCAGTTGGAAGGTTTCAAAAGATCCAGGGTCCAGTGTTTTCCACCTTGGATATTCCAGAGAGGGAATCTTAGGACTTGATTCACTCTACTGTATGGTATGTGGATTGGTTTACCTTCCATCTCTCCCTGATCATTTGGAATCTCGATGAGATCTCCTCAATCCTGTTTCTTCCTGCTATCGGCTGCTAGGCCTAGCTCCTCAGTGTGGGATGTACCTGGTACATACCGCTCAACACCACTGTCTCTGGCTTACTCATCTCTGCGGCTGAGACATCCCCCATAAAAGATGACAACAAACCATTCGTAACTGCCATTCTGATCTTTCCTGCCTCTCCGTGGAGCTGGCATCATTAGTGCTTCTGCTCTCGCTCTCCCTGATGAGAAACTATGACGACCGTGTTAAAGGCCCAGGGCATCTCTTTGAGGATACTACATGGTACCCTGGGCTCTCCTGAAGGGCATTGTTACTGTCCAAATTGATAGTGCTGTCAAGCAGTAATTTCAATGCTTGAGTGCAGAAAAGTGCACTGTAATAAAGGCACCGACCACTGTCATATTGAATGA